CTTCGTAGACGAAAATTTGAGGCTCGGTGGGGTACGCGCTGGCAACCCCAAATCACACGACGGCAGCATTGCACCCGGAGTGCCTAAGATGTGGGAGGCGATTCAATCGCTCGACTATGTATGACGATCCAGCGAAAAAGTGAGTGTTGTGATTTCGTTGGTATGTCGCACATTTGAGACATACATGTTGTGCTGCTGGTCCGCTTATTTTACATTTAAGGGCAGGTGCCCGGGGAGTTGCGGCTGTTTCTCTCTCCTTTCCCCCGCGGAACGCAGATATTGTTTGACTTGCTTTGAAAATGGGCCTCGCAGGTTAACAGTAGGCACCAGCTGCCAGTTCTTAATTTTTGCCACTTTTATCAATTACGGGAGCGCTGGTTTCTTGGCTGATGGTGCAGTGCCTTCTGTGGAATCGTCGTTCGAATGTCTCGCTATTGTTTTCAGGTGGAGGGAAGAATGGACGTTCAAGGAAGGGTCACGGAAGGGAGAGCTGGACAAGGCTCGCGCCCGCGAGAAGGTGAAAGGCTGGTGGACGGACATGCGTGCGGAGTTTAGGGTGGGTTTCGGACAACGGTCANGACATGCGTGCGGAGTGTAGGGTGAGTTTCGGACAACGGTCCACGGCGGGTGAAGGATTTGGTCTTTTCCGATTCCCGTTAGAACTATTTGCGCAAGAAGCCCACCTCCGTGTTTCGACTGGTATTTTGTTGGTAGCGGCCTTCGTCGGGGACGCATTGATTTTCTACTGCGGTGGATGTTGGGTTAAAAAAACAATAAAACCCGCCCCGTCCAGACGACCGTCTACCCTCCAGTGTCCCATCCCCTGGTCTGTTTTTTTTGTTCGGATGCGGCGGGTGGGTTTAGCATTCCTGCTTGCCGGGTGCTGTTGTGACAGAACGAAAGCCCACCCCCCGTCTTGTTTTTTTTTTTAGTATTTTTGTCTGCAGTAGTGGTAGTTGGTCGACAAACCGGCTCCGTCCAGACGACCGTCTGCCCTCCTCTGCTCCGTCCTCTGGTCG